CTGTTGTATGTTTTTATTTTTTTAGGTTTAATTGCTTTTCCAACAAAATACATAATGCGAAAGCCATTGCCACAAAGGTGCGGTAAGCTTACTTCATGATTTGAAAATGCCCTTCGAATTGAATTCCACCATCAAGAAACTCGCCGATACTTTACTAATCTTACTATTGTACTTCTCAACCCCAATATATGTTTTCAACATCTTCTACCTTGATTTAGCCTACTCCTTAATAATTGTAGGGTCTTTATATTTCGCGCACTTATATTTATATCGTTTTAAGAATTAGGAGGAGAGGAGAGGATACTATTTTATAAAGTTATATACCTATTTCTCGCCGACTAAAAGAACTGGGGTAGTTCTATACTTTTAAAGAAGAAGATCTACTATTTCTTATTATAGAAGGCTAGGGGGCTAATCTATAAGAATCTATAGAGAGGATCTATTTTCAAAGAGATTCCTCTTCAATATCGGTTAATTTGTGAGAGTTAGCGCGAGAAATCGCGCCGTATTATATACTATTCAGGCAGGTAGAAAGGGTAGATCTTAGGACATTAAAACGGCGCGCCACTTCACGAATTAAAGAAATTCCTTGATTCCTAAAAGCCTGGATAACTAGTAAGATCCTACCCTCCTGCTCTATTGAATTTCGAGAGGATTGAGTACGAATTGGTGGCATGGTGGGTGGTTGAACTAACTAAGATCTAATTCATGGACGCGTTTTGGTTGGGGTGGCCAGCTCGCTTACCGAATAGTTAACTACGTTAAGTAGTTTGATGCTTGAGAAATCAGGCTTACATATCAGATGGCTTCGAAGCGAGATATATCTCCCTTTCTCTCTCTCTCAATTCCATTCATTATCCAGTGGATATCATCGCGTAGATATCTTTGTCATCGTTTGTTACTTCGTATATTCTTATAACGCGATTCCATGTTTATATGGAACAACATTGTATTTATTGTTTCGAACTGTCGTTGACTGTTTGTTCAAATTGTATGTATTCAGAATGAAATCTAAATTCGTACATGTATATTTAGAGAGGAGAGAAATTCTAGTGAACAATATAATCTGATCCAACGTGAGCTCACGCCTGCTCTGACACCATCTCCTTCTCCTCCTCCTTCCCCTTCTTCACACTCCTCCATCCAACTCCCCATACAAAGACAAACTGCGCATAGGATAGTGCGACATTCAAATAGAAAACCTGGTCTATACTCTTCGCGTACGCTACCAACACGCCCGGCAGGTTCTGCGCCGACACAACTTGTCGGAATCCGGTCGCGCCGGCAGCGATGACTGCTTCGGCATTCACAGAGGGGGCATACTCGGGGATCTTCTTCTTAAGGGTCTGGGCGAATATAACTTCCCCCACGACCAGGAAGATGGCCCCGCCAAAGGTCTGGGCACAGGTCATCATGGCCATGGCAGTGGAGACGTCATCACCTGTGACCGCGTTTTGGATGGCGATCATGGGCTAGATAGGTATTAGTATATTGAAGAAGAAGGAGGACGAGGAATACAAAACTCACTACTTGGGAGATGGCACCTCGACCGAATCCTACCAGCGATTCGTAGCCGGCCCAATTGGGCACCGAGGTAGTGGGTAACAAGGTGGAGAGCAGGCCGTTTCCCACGGAATTTAGAATAGCTCCAAGAACTCCCCAAGGAAGATAGTAACCGAGCCTTGAGGCTATCAAACTGATTAGCGTTATCAAGGAAGACAAAGGAGAATGAAAGACACTCACTCAGCACCCCGGATACCACGGCCATGACCAACTGGCATAGAATGTTTGACAACAAGTCGACACTACTTACCAAGGCGGACTTGTCCCGGACAGACTGGAAGTAGATGGGCAGGTAGTATGAGAGAGTCATCGTGAACCCAAAGATCATCATCGATAGTAGACTGCTGGATAAGACAATCTTATCGCAGACTAAATGACCCGGAATCATTGCCTCGATGCCCATATGCCGTTCCCACAAAGCAAAGACCACGAAAGTCGCGACTGATCCACAGATCAGGCCAATGACTGTTGCACTGTCCCACGAGTACTCATTCCCACCATACTGTAGCGCCAGAAGAAGCATGATCGAGGCCGGCGCGAATAACACAAACCCAATGAAGCCGAATTTCTGAAGGGCCACTGAACGCAGGATTTCGCGAGCGGGTTGTTTTGGCTTTTGGTCTGGGACGCGTGTGAAGAGGAGCAGGACACCAACTAATGCCCCTACGGGGAAGTTCATATAGAAGCCTAAAACCGGGTCAACAGTGCCTTTTGACAGGATATTATCGTCATAGGCCGCGAAAACTTACACCATCGCCAAGTCGAGTAAGTCGTAAAAGCACCACCAACTAGTGGCCCTCCAACTAAGCCCAGTTGGCCAACTGCGAGAGATGTCAGCCCTGTGGAAAAATCATTTTTTGGCAAGCACATTACCCCCCATGATGATCCCAATCATTGCCGGTCTCTTTTCGATCGGCACTGCACCGGCTAGGATATTCAACGCCCCATTCATCATGCCCGATGATCCGATTCCTGCCACCGCGCGGCCGATGATGAGCATTTTGGAAGAGTTTGCTACCCCACAAACCAAGGAGCCCACTTCGAATATACTAAAAAAAAGAGGAATGTCCACTTCGATGAGAAGTAAGTGTAGAACTTCCCGGTTAGCGGCTGGAGAGCGGCACTAGAGAGTGAGTGATACTTGTTAGCCATTTCAATTTTGCATTTGTTTTAGATTGCATTGCGTTCCACCATACCTGGAGATTGTATACGCACTCCCGTACCATGCAACGTCACCGAGCGAGTCAAATTGAGTGGTGATTTTTGGAATAGCCTGTCTATGTCAGTCCAAAAATTCATCTCTCCAGCATTTGATTTGTGGTCATACCGTCGAAACAATCGACATATCCAACAGCATCAAAAACACGACTAGCGTGATACCTGAAATCACCATCACCAGTGTGATTCCCTCCACCCATTCTGGCTCAAACTCGTCGCTTTGATTGTCGCTTTGATTGGAGTTCTCTACATTCAGATCATGGTCCCACGGGGTGGGGTCGGATTTCAGAAGACGTGGCTGGCTGTCTTCGCTCATGTTGGCGGCGTGATGAAGCTTGGATGGCCGTTTTCCCTCCTAATATTTGCTGAAATTCCGTTTTCAATTTTCAATTTGTATTGCATTAAACGCTGTAGACTGAAGAAGGTGGACTTTGAATTGATTAAGTATGGGGAGGGGAGCACAACGTTGGTTGCTGCCATCCCCGAACGCCGCTCTTCCCGTTTCATCCCCATTGGAACGCCGTGCCTCCCGTGTCAACTCGCCGGTCAGACAATGATATTTGATTTCATTTGATTCGGATTTGTAAGACAATTGAAATCTCCAGTGGCTTTGTTTACATTTGAAGCTAGATCCACCAAGGTAATTGCCCAGGTGATGGACATTTGGGTTTTCCTGATATAATCTAATTCTGAACTTTTAATCAAACGCGACCCGTAGAGAAGCCCGAGGAGATATTAAAAGAAATTGTAGTAGCATGGATAGTATTTTCAGTATTTTGTCAACTGGTGGATATTCGCGTCTTCAAGTTGAATCCCTAGGCATGGACATCAATGAACCTCCAAGATCGAGTCCCAAACTTTTGCACATAGACAGTTATGATTTGATATCCACTGGTATTAGAGCGGATCCAGATCAGTAACGACATACTAAACATTGAAGAGAACTGTCATTGTATGAATCCCCCGGCCACAGCCCCTTCCATCACCCACCCCATCTCTGACCAATTCATAAAGCAATCCAGATCACCCATCTCGATGCTCGACCAGAATGGTTCGCCTGAGCTTTGGTCTGCAACCACCTCCGGGCACTCTGGTAATCGTACTGCCCACTCACTCCGAAGCTTCTGCATCATCATCCCCAATTTACTGAACGGATCGCCATACGCGCCCTCACTGCGCATCCCAACAGCATCCGCCACCTGGCCCATGCGTGTGGCAATCTGCTCCGCAATGACAAGTATGTCCGCCGTGCTTTTTACCGTGCTCTTGTCCCATCCCGGATAGTCCAAAGTAGATAGGCGGAAGAGGGTCACCAGGCAGTGCGACACCTGTGTAAGATAAGGGAGCGCCAGGGACGTGTATCCAGCTGGAGGGATTGTGAAAAATAGATCAAAAAACTGTTTCACCACGTGGAGACAGGCGTAGAGGTGATCAAGTCGCTGGGGGCTGAATTCCTCGTCTGCAAGGGGCTTGACTAGGGCAACTTCATAGAGACTAAGCTCAGTGTCGTACAAATGAAAGAGAATAGGTTCTGAGACAGGTTAAGTAAGTAGCTGTAAATGGGACATCTTTTTGCCAGGGGATCTGCATACTGTTGTCAGCCAGTTGAAAGGGAATCTCAGCCTTGATCGTCTCCAACCGTGACTGGAGTGCCTTGAGATGGAAGGCGGCTAGGGTTTGCGCCGAATTGAGGCCATACAGACCCTCACTCCAGGGGCCTTGAAAAATCTGGTCCACGAGAAGTCGGGTACGTGTGAGCTGGACTAGCACGCCATCACCAGGCGATTCTTCACTGTCCGCTAAAATATCAAGACATTGCTTCATATGCGGGGTCCATTGCAGTGGTTCATTCGACCCAAGAACTGCGCGATTCTGTACGAGGTCTGTCAATTCGATGCTCAATCGCTTTGCCGGATGTGGGATCTTACATAGAAGTCAGCACAAAGCAGCTCAATACTGCCCGGCGTTCATTCATCGTGCGCCGAGTTGAAATCGATGCTTCCAAACCCGGCATATGGCCTACGGCATTGGAGTTCGAGACTGTCATACTAAGATCCGGAGGTGCGGGCTTGTTGAGGCCCAGCTCGAAGACTAGCCCGATCACCATTTGGGAATACATACAGAGCGATGACTTTTGCGGCTGGCTGTGCAACGTGACCCTGGTCGACAGTAAGCAAGAAAGGGAGAGAACTTCAGCAAACCCCATGTCACTGAATCACAATGGGAGGTGATCACACCATACCATGCAAGATAGACCAATACCCCCTGCAATAGATCCAGGGACTTATCGCAGTCGACCAGCAGCCGCTTGCCCGCCAACTCCCGGATCCTAACACACAAGGTTGCTTGACGTGCTGTATGCTTACTTTCCACAGCAGAAATACAACGCCACAGAAATGGTGACTGTCGTTTCAGATCACCAGCGGTTATTGTGGCTGGTATGTGGATCAGGGGGAGGAACTGCAGCCGCTGGGTCCGAAAAGCGTGCAGAGACTCTTCTTCACTTGCTAATGTTTCTTCGTCTTCTCTTTCTATTTCGACCTCAGTTTGCCCCATCCCCTGCACCTCAGGTTGTCCCCGAACCAGCGTTAGCAGATCCGTCCGATCGCCGGAGGAGGTCAGCAGCGACATCAAGCTATCCATTTTCCGTTCCAGCTGAACCGACCTGGACAAGGTCTTAGGCTGGGTCTTTCGACGTCCCCGAGGAACGCGGCATTCTTTATTCAAACGATGACATCTGTGAATAATATCAGACTCGAATACATTCCGAACGAGTTCCCATCCCACTGCCTGGATAGTGTTCCTCCGCACGGTGTTGGTCCACTCACCTTTCACAGCGGCCGCCACCACCACTCCGGGGGACGCAACGGCACTTGGCACGAGCACAGGTGGCACATGCATTTCCATAAGGCAGAGGCGAGCGCACGGTGGATTCCATCCTGACCGATCATCTGCTTAATAATCTCAGTCGAGTAGAAGAAGAAGACAAAAAGGGGGAAGGGAACTGGAACAGGAAGAGGAATCGGAGACGGCATTCGACGAACGCCGCTCGCCGAGCTAACCAGCCACCCACCAATATCACCCCACTCGCCCCTTTCAACCGGCCTTTCGACTTCAAGTGGGTTCTTTTGTTGCTGATTCGCCTTGGCATTGGACTGAAAATTGATCTGTTTCGTGATTTTGTCCGATGGCCCTGAATCTTGCATGGAAGGATTATAGATCTGCATGTCCGCTACTGATGGAGAGTCCAAACGCACTCGGCCCGCAGCCAGCGTCGGAGTCGCTAGTGGGACAGGGACATGAATGAGGGTTTGGATCTGGAGGAATTGCTATATAAAGTATCCTCGCCGTCCTCAATTCGGGAACTTTGAAGATGTCCCATTTTACCCAAAAAATGTCGGAAACATGCGACTCATCTTCCTATAGCGAGTCCAGCCTTGAGAAGGGCACCCACCCTTCTGATCGAGATGACTCGGCAACAAATCCCACGACGAAAGATGCGAGTCCGGCTATCACCTCGACCCCCAAGAAGCAGGGGACCAAAGCTTGGTTGTCGTTAACTGCCGGTTTCATGGGCATGTTTGCTTCCTTTGGCTGGGTCAACTGCGTTGCCATATTCAAGGCCGAATATGAGATGAACCAACTGCGGGATTATTCGAGTTCCCAGGTGGGATGGATATCCTCCGTGCTCTGTATGTTTTTCCTTCAGTATCAACGAGTGGCGTGTTTGGCCAGACGATGAACTGACATCTTCAATGTAGTTTTCTTCATGCTCGGAGTGTCACCCGTAGCTGGACGACTGTATAATGGTTACGGACCGCGTCTTCCGATCATAATCGGCAGCTTTTTCCACGTCTTCGGCCTCATGATGACTAGGCTGTCAACCGAATATTACCAATTCATCTTGAGTCAGTCTGTGTGTTCTGGGATTGGAACGTCGTTGATCATCACTGCAGCCATGACCGCGGTAAGTGACATACCACCCTTGGTCGCTGCCACTGTCTACCAGGCGGAAAACTCACAAAAGCATTATTTTGCAGCCGACAACCTACTTCCACGATCGCCGAGCGCTGGCTGGTGGAGTCGCCATTGCCGGTTCCTCTTTGGGTGGTGTCAATTTTCCCATTCATGGTGAACCACCTGCTATGCTCAATTGGATTTTCCTGGACCATGCGTGCGTGCGCATTTCTAATGATGATGATGATGAATTCATTGACCCGATCTAGCTCGCTATTACATACATGCTGCTATGCGGGGGTTGCGTCCCAGAGCCCGCTCCCGACGACAAATGGCAGTGAGTCTCCAGTACCCACTACCCCGTAGACAGGACTCGAGAAATTGATTCTCGAGTCCTGCAACCTGAAAAGTAAGGCCACAAACCGGCCGGCGTAAATGCACATGACAAAAGAAATTAAGCATAAAGAAAGTCATCCACCTGCGTAATGTAGATAGCCGATCCCGTATTCCCCGCGGGCGCAAAGTGTCCCCTTCCTTTACAAGCACCTTTCACCCCTACATTTCTCACTTCTTCATCTCCCACTTCTTATTTCCTACTTCTTCATCTCTCTCCGCCTGGCTCCCTGAGTCACCGAGTCCCTATATTACTAGGACCGCCAGATCTGTATCACTCCGGTAGGTCGTATATAAATAGGTTCGGGTCGCGATGTTATACCTTATCGTCTTCGTCGGCAGTGTACGCTGATCTCTATGTGTTGATGTGAGGTAACCTCGGCGGACCTAACGCGCGGCCACTATATTATATGTCCTGTTTCTCTAGCACTTATAGTCTCTTGATTTAGTTTTATCGGATTTAAATCCTTATCCCCTACCCCCTTCTCCCTCCCTATAGCGACCGAGTCTACTAACTAAAACTATCCTAGGAGACCCGACACGATTATAAACTTTGCTATAATTAGCGCTACCTTTAATTCTTTTAATATTTCTTCCTCCCCGAGTATTATTAAGATACCCGCTTCGAATAATTCCTCTATTATCTCCGCCCGTTATTCCTTTAGGAGTAGGTATTTAAGTAGAATATATTATATACTCTGGTTTCCTAGGTTATATTTATAGCGTAGTAAGTCTATCTTCTTAATTTTATATAGGTACTTAGCTAATCCGATAATACCTATATATAATTAGATTAAAACTAATATTATTACTTTCTGTAGTCCCTTCTAGTAGAGTAAATTTAATTTATTCGGACTATTAATCAGCCTCTAAGTCCTCTGCGTAGTCCTCCTTATTCCTCCCTTTATCTACTCCTTCTCCTACACGATTAATAATTCCTATTTTATACTCTTACTTACTATAGCGGTAAGCTAGATAATATATTTATTTATATCTTAGGTGTCACGATCTGAGAGATGACAATCGTAGTTCTGCTGTTGTTAACCGCTTTCCGAGAAAGGACAAGCGAGGAAGGTCGATGTTTGCTAGGTTTGCATCAAGTCCTTATAAGGGAAGACTGATTCTTAACCCTTCTTCCTTTCTCCTTTCCCTCTCTGTACTTAGAATTCTCGTTAAAATACACTCTTTGAATTAAGAACTAGCTGGTAATATAATTCTAAGTACCACTCTTAATTTCTAATAAAGCAGTACGACTATATAGACTATTATTATAATTAGTCTTAGTCCTACTTTACCTATGAAGGGACGTAGCCAGTCTTGATTCAAACTAACTAAGCTGTTTGCAGTTATCTAAAAGCTTAAGGAGAGAAGTGGGAGCTGGCGGGGTCGAACGTAAATAAAAGGGGATACGAGGAAGGTCACGTACGCGTACGTAATATTAACCGGGCACTGGCCCGTTATAATACCCCCCTCCTCCCGGCGGTATCCGTTTATATATAAAGGGTACCTATATATATATAGGAGTATATTCCCTAGGGGCTATTATTCGTTCGCGCGCTCCTATAACGTTCCTTAAATATATCTAATATAGCGTAATCCTCTAATTTATCTAACCTTTACTATATTTATTCTATAAAGCTAGCCTATTTTACTAATACTTCCTATTAATAACTTCTCCTAATCCTTTATATATATATAACTAAGATCTTTTTAACTTCCTATTCTAATTTATTATTAATAATAATTAGCGGAGGTTAGGTATTATCTATAACCTAAAAAGAGAGGGGATCTAATACTATAGGTTATATTAGGTCTATATAAAAGATAGGGTAAATCTTATATAAGATACTTAACTCTACTATATATAAAGATAGAATATTAATAATAGTATACCTTCTATATAACTAGTCTAGTTTCTTTAATAGCTATAAGGATATAATATTTTATAGGTATAATTATACTTTATTTCCTATATAGTAGACTAATATAGTTTAATATATATAGTTTATTTATTCTTACTATTTATCCTAAATAGTAGCTATTATTACTTATACTTAGTTAGAAGCTTTATAAAGGCGTTTTATAAAGTCTATACCTACTTATTTAGGATTATTTCTATAACCTTAAAGGTTTTTATTATCTTTTAGTCTAATTAGATTAATATAGTATCTATATATAAAAAAGAATAGTATTAAACTAATTAATAATACCTCTTAATTATTAATTATAATAGTTATAATTAAGAGGAAATAGGACTAATCCTCTTATAAGTAAGTTATAAAGATCTATAAGATCTATTCTATCTCCTAATTTACTTATTCTATTATACTATCTATTTAAGGATAAAAAGCTATTAATAGTTATTATTAGATTTTTAGTCTTTTATATATTTCTTTCTAGAAACTACTTATAAATTAAGAGCTATAGTTACTTATAATTATAAGTAAGAACTTATAATATATATAGAAGTAGTCTATAAATATTTAGGCTATAGTATTACTTATAATAAAGTCTATAATAATAAGAATAATACTTTTTATAAGCTAATCTATAATAATAAGGTAGTTTATAGCCTTTTAGGGGCTATTTATAAGGAGATCTATAATAAAATTAATAGAAATTTCTATTTAGATCTATTATAGAACTAATAATAGCTTTAATAATCTATATTTAGTATTATATTATATTATACTTTATCTATAAACTATATAGTTCTATAAGAACTATTATATATCCTTAGCTACTCTTAGCTAAAAGAAATATTATAAGAGGATTATATATATAATATTATATCTTAGATACCTTATAATATATAAATTATATATATTTTAGATAATATATATTTATAAAAGCTTACTATCTAAGATTTATATCTAATCTTAGAAATAAAAAAGACCCTATATATTAAGGTAGTATTCTATAAGGCTTATTTTAACTTAGATTCTACCTAAGAGTCTATATTCCCTTTTTTATAAAGCCTATAAGATTACCTAATAACTTATATCTATCTTCTAAGCTTTAACCTAAAATAACTATAACTCTTTATTCTTAAATATATTAATAGGTATCTTAAAGCTTATAGGGGCCTCTATATTTATTTATAACTATCTAGTTTTTATCTTAACCTTTTTAAAGATATATTAAAATTAATTTATTATTTATTTATTACTCCTATCTTATAGGAGATCTTATTCTCTTTATAAGAGAGTATCTAGATATATAATTAGCTTCTTAAGCTAATATTAGATCTTAAAGTTAAATTCTATTAATATATCTACCTATTATATCTAGTATTTACTTAGGTCTTATACTTTCCTAAAATATTATAGATTCTTATAATTAATAATAATTTTAAACTTAAGAACTATTTTTAATTCTAGGTATTACTCTTTTAGACTATATATAATTATAAGAAGCTCTTTATTATATATCTTATAATTTACTTCTACTAATAATAGCTTTTAAAAAAGGTATATATATAAGTATAATATTCTATTATCTTATACTTATAATAGTATACCCCTAATAGCCTATTTAGAGGTATTAGTTTCTACTATAGTTTTATATCCTTTTTTAAAATATACTAAGATAGGTATATTAATAAAAAGTTCTTTTAAGTTTATAAAGGCTTTATAATAAGCTATATCTTAATAGAAGTCTATTCTTTTATATATTAGCTATACTAATAAGGCTATTAAGTCTATAAAATATAAGATAAAAGTCTAATAGAAGTTTATAAATCTTAAGAAGCTTTATATATCTCTAGCTATTTTTAGTAATTCTTATATATATATTACTTTAATCTTTATTAGGTCTATATAGATATTTATATCTATATAGATAATAAACCCTAAGTACTTAACTATTTTCTTTTTAAATTCTAACTTATTAATATTATATTATAGGCCTACCTCTTATAACTTTTATAAGACTTTAGCTATTTTCTAGTAATAGTCTTTAATTAATCTATTTAAGTAAATAATAATATTATCTATATATATAAAAATAAAGTTATTAAAGTACTTATAAAGTACTTAATTAATATATTATTAAAAGATTATAAGTACTCTTATAAGGCTAAATAGGGTTATAAGCTATTTAAATAACCTATATCTTATTTAAAATATAGTTTTCTATTCTTCTCTAGGTTTAATCTAGATCTTATAGAATATTATAATTATATCTAGTTTTATAAACTATTATATTAAGATCTATAAGATTTATTCTAGACATATAATCTATAGATTAGACTAGAATATAGATCTGGATATACCTAAATAGGGCTATAGGATACTATATTAGTAGTCCTAGATACCTATATCTATTAGTATATATCTACCTATACCCTATTTAAATTAAAAACTTATATAATCCCTTCTAAATTATATCTAATAGTATATTAGTTTAAAGCCTTCTTCTATAAAGGCTTAAGGAGAGGTATAGGATAGACCCTTTAGGGCTGAATAGAAGGACCTAGGGATATCTAGAAAAATACTAATAGTTTATCCTATACCCTATCCTAATACTTAATCTAGTAGACCTAGGTTTAAATAGAAATAAAGGAAAAAGGGGTATAATCCGGATTAAATAGAATAGCGGTTAGTAAAAAAAGACCTAAGTTATAGAAATAGTTATAAAGGGCTAGATAAAACTATAAGAAAGTAAGGCTGCTAGAGAGTACTATAATACTAGCTAGACTATATTTTATTCTAAAAAGGCTTATATTTACCCCTTATAAGAAACTATTTACTTAAATTTATTAGAATAGATCTATATTTAGGGAGATAGTTAGAATAAGATAAATAGCTAGCTCCCTATAGTATAAAAAAGTAATAAAAGTAAGTTATAGATAGTCCCTAAGCTACTAAAATAATTA